AAGACTCGAGTGATGATGACCAAGAAGAGGAGAAGAAGGTTGAGAAGAAGGTTGAGGAGAAAAAGAAAGCCGGAGGAGACGAAGTGATGGTTGAAGTCTCTAGCGATGAAGAAAAGAAGGTTGAGGAGGAAAAGAAAGGAGATCGACATGAGAAGAAAGAGGTTCTGGAGCCAAATAAGTGCTGGAAGATGGGAAAGCCATCAGCTGCAGCAGTTGGGTTTTCTACGGCAGGAATGAGTATGAAACAGATTGAAGCCCGACTCAATGAGGTGAGGGTTGAACCGGCTGAAGAAAAGCTGAAGAAAGTGGTGCCAAAGAGTAAAGCAAAAGCAAAAGCAAAATCAAAGTCGAGATCGAAAAGTGACCGTGAAGAATGTATCGACAGTGATTCGGACACAAGCACTGCAACCCAAAACAGCTGTGGGAGCAGTAGTAGCACCTTGAGCAGCAGCTCCAGCTCCAGTATAGAAAAAGATGAAAAAGCTGAGGAGGCAGTTGAGGAGGCTGGGCTTTTGGCGGTCCGCTCGGAATTTCCCAAAAGCAATATCAGGAGGTGGATGAAACCAGGTCCCATGTATCCATTTCCTCGTGATGTGACAAGTGTGAGAGTTCGCAAAAGAGTGTTGAAGCAAGCTAAGATCACACGGTGGAAATCAACACCTACTGTGGACAATCATGCTCTCATGGAGGAGATTGAAGAAGAAAAGAAAGATCCTAAGCCCACGCCGGAAATGCCTCTAGCGCAAGTCCTCCCAGTTCCTACTCACCGTCGCCGACAGAAAAGCTTCAGTGCCTAGTATGCAGTTTGGTGTGGGTGGGAGGTTAATGTCAACTTCGAACCAGTTCCGTCGATTCCAGCAGTGCCCTCGAGATCATTATATATATATATATAGGCCAGTGTGATCGATATGATAATTTTTGTTTTCCCAATAAAACAATTTGAATATCACAAACTCTCAACTGGCCCCCAGGAAGCCCAGTGAAGATTTCACCAAAGCCTACGTTGGAATATGAAAAGTCAAAGGCCACTGGGAATCTAAAGCCAAAGATCGACCCGGATGAGAAGGCGCCTTGATCTTGCAGAGTTGGCATAGCTGCATGCGCATGGTTTGTCCTGGCACATATGATGTTTAGATCAAGGCTGCGCATATGCAACTGTTTTGCATGATGGATCATACCTAACACTCCCTGCTAGGAGGAAAAGAATTCATTGGTTGAAGTTGTGGACGCAAAGGACTTCGTGCTGTCATCATTCCGTGTTGCTATAAGTCGGGTGCAACAGGTGGCTTTGGATCGGGCATCAACAAAAATTCCTTGTCCCCAAGAACAGCTGGCACTCCTGCAACAAAAAAAGAAAAAACGTGATGCCGATCAAATGATACTTAGCTTAATATCTTTTACAATATATACTATATATACCACACATGCCCACACTTTCATCCAAGGAAG